GGCTAAAGCCTCGCCCACACTCCCTGCAGACATAGGGCTTCTCCCCTGAGTGTGTCCTCTGGTGTGTGATGAGGACTGACTTCTGGCTAAAGCCTTGTCCACACTCTCCATGCCTGACTTTTACAATTCTTGAGATTCCTACTCCCAGGAGTAATTTCTCTGTGTCCTCAGGATTCACTTTCTGGCCTGGGCTAGGCTCTGTCTCCATCATTCTGTTACCCTCCCTAGAACTCCCTATTTGTCCTTTGGGTAGGCTGGAGTCGACCTTTGAAGTCTCCCCCTCCCTTGTCCTTTCAAACACCCGTTTGGACCCATCTCCTGTCTCTCGATCTTCTGCTTTGTCATTCTGGGTGCGTTCAGAATGCTGCTGCCTCTGATCCCCTGGACGGGGGTCCTCTGGTTGGAGGTGTTTCCTTGCAGGTGTTCCAGAGAAGGGCTGAGAGGGGTGACGGTGCTTCACGTGTTGGCTGAGGAATTTCTGACTGGAGAAGGCCAGAGGGCAGGAGGGACATGGATGGATCTCTGGCTTTGGCTCTCCTGGAAGAGAAAGTTTTCAGTCAGAGTTGGTGTAGACAAGGCTGCCTCATCTCGTGGAAAGACCTCCCCATAATCATTCATAGAGTGTTCACAACACAGCATCTGTCTCCACAACATCCTCCTTCATAGGCCTATTTTTCACTCCGTTTTTATTCTTTACATCTTCAGCAACCTGAAAACCCACATCAAGGCCCTTCTCTACATTTCAGCCAGACCAGGGGCTTTCAGGTAGGAACTGGAGGAAGCCTTGCTCTTTTCCTAGCTGAGACTGCAGTGGACTTTCCCACACTCCACAGACATCTTCTAAATCCTGTCCCTGCTTGGATCTGGTATGGGCAGCTATTTTTTACTCCTGAGAGATGCTGCTCTCAATGACCCAGGTGGAAACCTCCCAAGCAGGCTTTTCTACAAGGGGTGGGATCCACTGAGTCAGGAGCCCTCGGCCCAGAGGCCCCCCCCATGGGAAGGCAGTGTGGAGCAGTGGTAGGAAAACATGTGCGAGTGAAGGCATGTTTAACCGAGGACAACTCTGCCTGGTTCTCTCTCAGGCAGTGAGACTCAGGTGTGAAGGAGACAGGGCTGGCCCAGGCCCACGGACTATAGGACGCTGGATCCTGCTGACTTGCATCTCTCTTAGTTTTCCAGAAATTATAAAATGAAAACATGTCCCTTCTGAGGCCGCACACCTCCTGTTCATACTTGATTGATTTCACTCATTCTTACCCCAGCGGAAACGTGATAGGAAGTCTTATTTCAAATTATACCTCGTTCAGACTTCTCACACCCTCTTGACTCCCAGCTTCGCCCACCACCCCCTCACCTGGACACTGAAGTAGCCCCCGAGTGGATGCCCCACCACGTCTTTATTCCAAGATTAACCAAAGCTTCGTCTTTCACAGAGAACATGTCATCCTCCAGCTGGAAATCCCTGTCGGCCTCTGTCTCACTCAAGACAAACCCTAATTGGTTGCATGCATCGCAGGCCCCACTTTTCCCTGCTTCTGTGTATGTCTCTGACCTCAACTCTGACCCTTTCTGCTCCCCTCACCCATGTTTCTCCTCAGAGGTCTCCTGGCTGTTCCTCGAACACCCTGACTCTTTCTGGTCCCAGGTGGTTGTGTATACTGCCTTCTCCACTGGAGTTCTCTGCCCACAGGTATTTGCACGTCTCAGTCCAGCTTCTCGTGAGGACCCTGAGGGAGGTCTCCTGACCCCTCTGCAGCACTCAGCCTCCCCTCACACTCTGCCTTCTCCCTGGACTGGGCTTCTGCCCAGCATGATCACCGTGTGGTGTGACACATGCGTGCATGCTCGCTGTCTGGTGTGACACACGCACGCCTGCTCACTGTCTTGTGTGACAGGCGTGTGTGTATATTCTATATGTTCATGTTCTGTTTCCTTCATGTCAGCTGCTCCAGAGCAGTTATTCTGATGTCCTGATCAATCTGTGTTTCCAGTTCCTGGGACCCTGTCTAGCACAGAGCAGGAGCTCGTAGGAGAATAATTGCAATAATGAATGAATGAATGACAGCATATGCATATAGTTTTTAGAAATCCTGAGGAGATTAAGAAGAAAGAGCTAAAAGGGCCGCAAGAACTGCCATGCTGGGAACTGGCTGGTGCCTGAGAACTTGTTTTTGCTTCTAACACTGTGTGCTGTTATACACTTTGTGCCTGAAGTATTAAAAAATAAAATCAGAATAAAAACGTAAAAGGCATATGAAATGAATCCTTCATTTGGGGAGCATCTGATTTGAATTTCACTGACTTTAGATGGATTCTACTCTACTTATGGGTTGGACCATGACAATTTGCAAGGAGAAGGATCCCTGGTGCCCACCTGTCCCTGAGGTGAGCTCCTTCTTCCACCTGCTGCCCCACTTGATGCCCAGCTCCTGGCCGTACTCGTCCCCATACCAGACCAGCAGCTCACAGCCAGGTTGGATGGTGCTGCAGGTCCGGTAGAAGATCTGCCTGTGGTACTGAAAGGCCACCAGGTTCTGCTCCTCTTCATTCCGGGCGCAGTTCACATACCTGAGGTTGACAGGATGTGAGAGACCAACTGGCAGTGAGCGCCAGGTCCTGCTCCTGCTCCCTCCTGATGTTCCAGGCCCTGATCTGCCCACTCTGTAACCACACCTCACAGAAAACTTCCGTTCCCACCTCAGCCTCATTTGTGATGTCACGTGAAATCCTTTCCCCAAGCCCAGCTTGTGGAGATCAGCCTGCAAAGATGCACCTCCCTGGCCTAATCAACCATGTTCCAAAGCCCAATTCCAGACTTACCTCCACCCTGACTGGCCGTAAACACAGTGAAGTGCAGCATCTGTGAAATCTAATTTGTGTTTTATGCCACAGAACATGGCACTTGGTGATGTACTCTGCTTCTAAATGACTAGACGTCATTCAGCACTCGGCCCAAGGCTGTCTCCTTCAGAGAGGTCTTTCTCCAATGTCTCCACACTTTACCTGAGTACTATGCACCTGCTCCCCAGGTTCCCACAGACACATGGAGGTCTTTTGTCTTAGTTCACTCCCACTCTGTGCCCACTAGAACAAGAGTCCTCAAGGTGAGGGGCTGGATCGTGAGCCGGTGTCCATGAACAGCCTGTGGCTCACCTCACGCAGGCTGACATCAGGTCTGACCTCCCTTGTTTTAGGTTATCTTGGCACTAGTTCTTGAAAGCTATGAAAATTATAGTGAAATATTCCTATAACAAACTGATTAATGTCTGTCTCCAGTAAGTCCAGAGCTCCACAAGGACATGGGCTCCGGGCCTGGCCTTGAACAGCTGTGTCTAAGCAGGCCACAGCAAGCACATGATAAATGTCAACTAGATAAATGCAGTGCGAGTCGGTGCTCGTGAGAGGAGGGTCCTCCACGTGTGTTCCTGTGATCTTGTCTAACACAGATGTTCATGAGCAGAGGACATGTGCTTTTATCTCCTTATTTCTAGGTGTCTCAAGACATGAAAGAGAGTTGTAAGGAGAAAAAAGGACAGAGTGTAAAATCCCCTGAAGGAGCCATGATGAAAAGGAAGCAGGTCTGGGCTTGTGAGATTCGTTTACTCTCTGAAACCAAACACCTTCTAGCCTTACCTCATCCAGTTGGCCCAAGATTCGTCCTTTCCATCCACATACTCATAGCAGTTCCTTCCCTTGGTGATCTGAATGTCAGAAAAATAAGGCATTTTTTGGTTAATGAACGGAGGAATTATTTTACTCTTCTCAGTTTGTTGCGACACGATATGCTGCTTTGTCAGCACCTACGGGTCTGCATGGATTGTCAGTCGGAGCAGAGGTAGGAGCCTTTATCTCTGTCCCACTCTCCTCCACTTTCCCTCTGATCTTCAACAGGAGCTCCAGGGCCGTGCAGAGGCCGCGCAGTGCACAGAGCTAGCCTATTATCACCGTGAGCCCTAGCACGTCCTACCAAGGCACAGAGGGAGGCGGGAGGTGGGAACAGGGCAGTGGGTGGGTGCTTCTCACCAGCCAGGAGTAGCCGCTGTTGGCTGCCTCCTCGTCTTCTGTCACCTGGCCCTCATAGGGGCCAAAGTGCACGCCCAGTGGCAGCTCAGATGCCTCGTTCCATACTCCAAGCCCAGCCTTGGGGATGCCAGATGGCCCAATTCCCAGCCCAGGGGGCAGAGTGAGGGCTGAGCGATTGGGGTGCCCCCTGTCCGCAGGACTGTCCTTTACAAATGTTGGGGCCCCATGAACTGCACAGGCGTCGATGAAGAAGTTCTGACATTTCTCACAGTCTGGAGGAGGGAGCGGTAGGGATTAGGATGCAGTGTAGAACATATTCTGACATTTCTGACAATCTGGAGGAGGGAGCAGTGGGAATTAGGGTGCAGGGTAGAACATATTCTGACACTTCTCACAGTCTGGAGGAGGGAGCGGTAGGGATTAGGATGCAGAGTGGAACATATTCTGACATTTCTGACAATCTGGAGGAGGGAGCAGTAGGGATTAGGATGCAGGGTAGAACATATTCTGACACTTCTCACAGTCTGGAGGAGAGAGCAGTAGGGATTAGGATGCAGGGTAGAACATATTCTGACACCTCTCACAATCTGGAGGAGGGAGCAGTGGGGATTAGGATGCAGGGTGGAACATATTCTGACATTTCTCACAGACTGGAGGAGGGAGCAGTGGGGATTAGGATGCAGCGTAGAACAGGCCTACACTTGGAAAGCAGGAGCAGAAAGAGCCCAGCCCTCAATCCTGGACTCCAAGTCACTAGGGAAGGGAAACCGCTTCGGGACCAGGACCTAAGCCTTCTGTGAGGGGCAGGCGGGTCACTTACAAAGGTAGTCGTCATCCTGGGGCTCAGCAACCTCCTGGTACGCGAGGCCCTTTCTTTCTCGCAGGCTGTACATCTTCACCTCGACCTCCTTTCTCCTGGGCTCTGAGGTGGAGAAGACAGGTGGGCAAGTTTGTGTGGTGTACAACGTTAGTCCTGCTTTTGTCAGAAAATCTGAGTTCTCCTCCCATCAAATCATCACTGTCCTACAGACTGTGATTTCCCCATAACCGTTGCTTCAAAGACCAAAACTCCACACACACTGACTACTGATGCTTAATGCAACTTTAGGTTCCAGCTCCTCCCATTATCAGGTTAAACTTCCCAAACTTTCTACTTAAAAGAGGGGTTGTCAAGCATTTGCTCTTTCTGAAAATATTTGTTGAAGACAAACTGTGTTGCGTTGTGCATTGAATGAAGAAGGTTTGGTGCCTAACTTCACAGCTGAATTTATGGGACACTTGGCATATGTCAGCTCCTTTATATTTAATTGAATGCTTTCAAGCAATACATGAGTTCTGTATCTTCATCCTTATTTTACAGATTAGGAAACTGGACCTCAGAAAATTTCAAAGATTTGCCTACCCTCAGTGCTTCTGTATGGATTATAACTGAGGTCTGTGACTTTGAAGTTAATTACATTCAATACTGCATCCAACTTCTGGTCTCCAGCTTAAACCTAGGCACATAGACCATGTTCATGAACCTTTCTAGAGGAGCTGGAGGGACTAGTCCCAACTTATTTTCTTACCCAGTTTCTGTCTTGAGTGTTGATCAGAGGTACTTGCTTCTCCAGGAGATGACACCAGCTTCTGGGCCTGCTCTGAGCCAGCTGTGCTCAGCAAAATTTCTGTTCCTGACACTTCCTTCAAACTAGATTCATTATTTAGTGGTGCCCTGGGTGTTCCCTTTAATGTGAGAGTCATATATTAAAGGACGAAAAGCATTTGTTTAGTGCTTTAGGATGTGACATTTCCACACACACGACCTTAGCTAGAGCTCCAACAACCCTGAGCAGCCAGGGAGCCAGATGACCCGAGGGAAAAGGAAGGGTCCAGTTCAGGCTCTTTCCCTTCACCCTTCTCCACATGTCTGTGCAGGAGCGATGGAGGGAGGGAGAAGGCTGGAGAGACTAGCTGAGAATCAGCACAGCCTGTGAGAGACAGTGTGGGGCCTATGGAAAGAGGGAGTCTTATGTAAACCAGTGGACATTTGCTGGGGGATAAAATGCAGAAAAGCACAAAGCACACTGGGAATGAGGACAATGGAGCAGTGCGACTGGAAAGAGAACAGACACGGCTGCAGAAACGTATCTAGACAACAGAGATAGCGATGCTAAAGGTTGAAAATTGCCATATCCAGGAAAGAATACTTACTCTGGAATTAGAAAATACTGAAATACTGGAATTAAATTAGCTGGTTCCTGTACCAATTCTGCTGAATAAGGGTATACCATTAGCTAATTCTTCTGACCTTTTCTTTGGTTTCCTTATACATAAATGGGCATACATCCTCATTCTCAAGGTTACAGTGAGCATTAAACGTAATACAGCTCATCAAAACATTTTGTGAGTTATTAAATACAGTATAAATGTGAGATTATTTCTTTCACAGTTGTGCTATAAAATTCACCTCCTCAGTCATCTCCACAGTTGAAATCTAACTCCACAGGTATCACCTTCAGCATTCCTTAACCTTAAAAACCAAAAAACAAACCCATTGCTGTTGTCTATTCTGACTCAGCAACCCTATAGGACAGGAAAGAACTGCCCCATAGAGTTTCCAAGGAGTGGCTGGTGGATTCCAATTACCGACCTTTTGATTAGCAGCTGAGCTCTTAACTACTGTGCCACCAGGGCTCCTTAACCTTCTTACTCATAGTTTAATTTGCAAATGTGCAATCACTCATTCAGAAAACATTCAGGTGTCTCTCAGGGGCCCGAGCTGGGCCTGGGCCTTCTGAGACAAATCAGGTAAGGAGCAGGCTCCCAAACAGCTCTCATGCAGAGAGGCCAGCTAAGCAGACCATTCAAACCACACGAGACGCGCTTAATCAGAGCCCAGAGGAGAGCTGTTACTTCCTCCTACAGGAATGAGCATTTGAAATCAGTTCCAGAAGAAGAGTTTCTACTGAATACTGTGTATCTGGCAGAAATCCTTCAGTCATTGTCTTACTCTTTTTCTCGGTCATCAACCTGAGGCTCCTCAGGACTGGGAGCTGCTTCCTCTTCTAAAGTGGGAACCCCTGAGGGTGGGGCCCATCCACTCTACCAACCGCTCTTATATTTACACGTGATGGAATGACAAGGAAGCCAGGTAGAAGTAAGCTTCCCTTAGCCAGGGTCTTAGAGCGGCAACCACCTTAGCACACAGCAGAGAAGGTCTGAGGTTTGAATCATCACCTGGGCCTCAGAGAAGAAAGCCTGAACTTCGCGAATATGTGCCAATTTTAATGAGCAAGTAAGTGTTTTGGATTAGACTCTACCCCCACCGATACTGTGATGTCGGGTGTGTAATCGAACACGCCTGCACCTCAGTTTCCTCATCTATAAAGCAGCAGTCAGCAAAGTACCCACCTCATAGGCTTGTTTGGACCAAGGGTGATTTGAAAATGATTTCTGCAGTATCATTAATTAAATCCTATGCATCTAGTCTGGAGTCCCTGGGCAGCACAAACAGTTAGGCACTCAGCTATGAACTGAAAGGCTGGAGGTTCAAATCCACCCAGGGGCACCTCAGAAGAAAGGCCTGGCAATCTACTTCTGAAAGGTGACAGGCATGGAAAACCTCACGGAGCACAGCTCTACTCTGACGCACATGGGCTCACCACGAATCCGAATAGACTCAGTGGTAACTGTTTTTCTATTTGCAGTCCCCGGGGTGGCACAAACAGTTAAGCTCTCGGCTACGAACAAAAAGGATGGAGGTTGGAATCCATCCAGATGTGCTTGGAAGAAAGGCCTGGTAAGCTACTGCTGAAAGGTCACAACCACTGAAAGCCTCATGGAGCACAGTTCTCCTCTTGACACACAGGTTGCGATGAGTTGGAATAGACTCAATGGCAACTTTTTTTTTATGCTTCTGTTGGGGAGTCAACTAATCACTTTCCTAAAATGTTAAAAATATAGATAAAATTTCATCTCTGCTTCATCCTATGTTCTTAAGTTATCTATTAAGCGATAAGATTTAAGTGAGTTTATTCATGTAAACGCCTTAAAATAAACTCAGGAATACTGTGCAAAGAAAACAAACAAGTGGCAGCTGTTACTGTTGCTGTCGTTACTGTGAAGACGGTGATGTGTCAGGCTGCGCACAGGAGGGATCGATCAGGAGGAGGGAGGCAGCAGCCCTGGGCTCTGACATACATCCTTCTGCTCCTACCTGAGTGTGGCTCCACGAGGAAGGTGTTTTTGTCCGTAGGAATCACAGATACTCACCTTCTGGTGTTTACTCTGCTCCACTCTGGAGACCACCCAAGGAGGTTTGACTGAAAGGTGATGAGAAATCAGAATTTATTTTGCTTGGTGAATGTTCCCAAACTCTGGAGATGCTCACGCAGGGACAGAGAATGAGGAACCAGAGCACGGCGCGTCCAAGGGGGACGTGAGATGGTTTCCGCAGCACCGTTACTTAATGCCTAACTGGTTTCTTAGAATGTTTTAAACCTCATCTCTGGTTCATCTTACGTACACAAAGTATCTCTTATATTTATTTAAAAAATTAATTGACGGGGTTGGGGATTTTAACTAGGTTCAGATAGAGATGTGTGATAAACCGTGGGGGTAGGTTTATCTATGAAGACTCTCTCCATGTCAAAATCGGACAAGCAAGCATTGGGTTTCACCTCTCACACTACTTTTGTGAGCCTAAAACGTCTGAAATCCACAGATGGGAATCACAGATCTTGAGTCTAACTGGATCTTTCCCGATTAGGAGGACTGCCATTTTATAAACTCTCCCGTCTGAGCGGAAGTGAGCTTCTCGCTTCTCTTGTATAAAGATGACACAGCACTTTATTTACCCGATGCTGTCTCTGGTCAGAGCATGTGGGAAAGCTCAGGAAGATTAAACAGCTCTCAAACCCCCTCCCAAGATCAAGACAAAAAACCAGGCTCCATTTGGGGTAAGAGGATTATGTGTTGCGATTAAATGTACATAAACAAATTACGTATTTTGTGTTAATCGTTTTCTCTTGTAAGACATTTATTCCAGTAACTATGAACCACTATAAAATTAACATTAGAAAGTGATTTTATAGTTTAATTAAGGTTTCCTTAATTGTCCTTTGATTAATTATCAATGTTTAGCAAAAACAACCTCCTTAAAAAAAAGAAAGATGATAACTTTTAAGCATAAAGAAATGTATGGAGAATTATACTGGAAAAACCTATATACCCACTACCATTGAGTGAGACCTCAGTATTCTGCTACAGCTGCTTCTGATCTTTTTATCTCTATTTAAAAATTAAAAAACAAAAACTAATCGCAGCTGAGTCACCTGTGAGCCCTTCCTCTTTCTCTCGTGGTGACTACTATTCTGAATTTGGTATTTCTTATTCACATTCAGATTTCTATCCATTTACCATTTATTAATGTAGCTACAAATAACATATACTATCATCTTACACATTTTAGAACTTTCAGTGACTGGCCTCTTACTGGCTGTACCCTTTGGATCTTGCTTGTCTGCCGAACATTTAGGTCTTTGTGTGAACAAGCCCTTTCCTTTGTTAACTCCTGAGAAGTGGCTGAGACCTGGCCCCTGGAAATTCTGCTGGCCTCACCTTGCTGCCTAGGTGTCCATTCCTCATCAGAATCCTCAGTGTCATCCACCTGGGCTTTGATGGCCTGCCTGCGGTGACACATGAAAGCTGGGCGGGGGGCTCTGAGACCTGGAAAGAAGGAAAACCTTTATACTCAGGGAAAAGCTGGGAGGAAGAAGGAAGGGGGGTAACTCAGTGAATGGGCTGGGAGACTCTAGCATGGACACAAGAAAACCAACTTTCCCTCCAGGTCTCCCTGCACACACAGGGTCGCTGTGAGTTGAACCGACTCCACAGCACCTAACAGCAGCAACAACTCCCTGCACACAGGAGGGAGTCACAGGAGTGCAGGGATCAAGGGCCCCGAGCTCTGCGCATCCAGCACCTCCAATTACCTATAGCGACCAGCGCCTCATAGTTCCTTTTCACGTTCCTGTATCGGAATTTCTCCCACTCTCCCATCTCTGCCCACTCTTCCTTGGAGAAGTATATGGAAATGTCTCTAAAAGCATCCTTGGCCTAGAGAAATGACACATTCCTGCAATGGCTCACTAGCAGGGCACATGTCCAGCCAGCCTGTCCCTCCACCTGGGCAGAGGGCAGCTGGGGGGACAATGACCCTCCCTCTCTCCATCCTGACACTGGACATCTTCTAGCGTTCCCCAAACACAGCGGGTGCTGATGTAGGCGTCCTGATTTTCCCACAGCCCCCTCCTCTTTCTTCTCGTGGACCCCCCCCCCAAGCCCGTCACCACCGTGGACCCTTTCCCTGTCCTCCCAGTGAACCACCCCCGCCCCCTGCACTCCCCGTGAGCCCCCTCCCCTCTCCTCCCCGTGGACCCCCGCCCCCGCCCTCACCGTGGGCGTCCTCCTCGCGTCTCCCCCAGGGCTCTCCTCTGTGGCCCTGGCGGGGCTCATGGTACCGGCACCGCCCTCAGGCCGGGCCCGGAGTGTCCCAGCCCAAGGCCACAGCTCCTGCGGAAACAGAAGGTTCTGGAAGAGGCGACCGCTGGGACCACCGCCCCTGTGCCGGTGTGTCCCGTGCTGGAGACGCCGGGTGGGGGGACGAGGTGCTGTGGAGGTCGGGGTGCGGAGGGGTGGGGGTCTCGGAGGCCAGACAGACCCCGATGCGTTAGTGCAACTCAGCCTGAGGGGTCCTTGGGGTCAGACTGGGGCCTCAGGGTCCTGCTCCACCGAGAGGAAACCGCGTTTCTCAGAGAAGGGTCTGGGGTCTCCACCTGCAGCTTCTGGAAAAATCTGAGAATAAAGCAGGCTGGACGTCTAAGAGCAGCGATCTCTCAAGGTGAGGGGACTGGGCTCTCTCAGGGTGAGGGGACTTGGGGTCTCTCAGGGTGAGGGGACTTGGGGTCTCTCATGGTGAGGGGACTTGGGATCTCTCAGGGTGAGGGGACTCGGAGTCTCTCAGGGTGAGGATATTTGGAGTCTTTCAGGGTGAGGAAACTTGGGGTCTCTCAGGGTGAGGGGACTTGGGGTCTCAGCGTGAGGGGACTTGGGGTCTCTCAAGGTGAGGGGACTTGGGATCTCTCAGGGTGAGGGGACTGGGGTCTCTCAGGGTGAGGGGACTTAGGGTCTCAGGGTGAGGGGACTTGGGGTCTCTCCGGGTGAGGAGATTTGGGGTCTTTCAGGGTGAGGGGACTTGGGGTCTCAGGGTGAGGGGACTTGGGGTCTCTCAGGGTAAGGGGACTCGGGAGTCTCTCAGGGTGAGGAGATTTTGAGTCTTTCAGGGTGAGGGGACTTGGAGTCTCCTATATCAAAGGGATTTTGTGTCATCCAGGATGAGGGTTTTTGGGGTCCCTGGGGATGAGAGTATTTGTGGTCTCTGAAGCTGAGGTGATTTGGGTTCCCTCAAGTTCAGGGGATTTGGAATCTCATGGGAGATGAGGATTTGGGGTCTTTCTGTCTGAAGATATTTGGGGTGCTTAGGCTGAGAGGATTTGGGGTCCACCAGGTTAAGGGTATTGGAGAGTGTCTCAGGCTCACTCAGGAGATTTAGGGTTTGTCCATGGCAATGGGTTTGGTTTGGTTTTTGGTTTTAGGCTGAGGGGCTTTGGGGTCATGAAAAGGTTTTAGGGTATCTAACAATGAGGTTATTTGGTTGTCTCTGAGGCTGAGGAGATTAAGAGTTCCCAGGCTGACGGGGATATAGGGTCTCTGAAGCTGAGTTAATCTGGTGTCTCTGGCTGAGAGATTCAGTATTTCTCAGGCTGAAGGGAATTGGGGTTCTTCAGGCTCAGGAGATCTGAGGGTCTAAGGATGAGGGGACTTGGGGCTCCTCAGGCTACGGGGATTTGGGGTCTCTGATGCTGAGGGGATTTGGAGGTCCCTCAAGCTGGCGGGATTCGGAGCCTCTCGGGGTGAGGAGATCTGGAATCTTCCCTGGCTGACATTTGAAGGTCTCGGCCTGACGGTTTAAGAGGGTTTATAAGGGTTTGAGGCATGGCAGAAGCACCCCGTGTCCTGTCAGTGTCTCCCGGCTCTCGCGCGCTGCCCACCCGGCCGGCGCCCTCCGAGCACCTGCGCGCTCCCGCCTTCAGAAGAGACGCCTTGACCCGCGAGGCACCCGCCTTTAACGCGCGGCCGGGCGCAAGCCGCCAATCAGCCCGCAAACAGAGCGGTCCGGCCAATCGGTGATCAGGGTGGGGATAGAGGGGCAGGGCGTGGGCGGAGCCGCGTCTGTCAGTCACGGGACAAGGCCGAGTCAGGGCTTCGGTTGGGACCTTGGGACCCGATTTTCCCGCCCAAGAGGAAGGTCACGCCCCTCCCCGCGGGGATTGGCTGATCTGGGTCTCCGCGTCGCTGGAGAGCTGAGAAACTGAGTGACGCTCCGCGTGCTCCAGTCTATGGGGCAGCCGTGCGACGATGTTGGGCTGCCGGGATCATGCATAGGGGAGGGGTGGTTTCCAAACATTCCCTCGCGCTCCCATGTGCGGAGCGGTAACTGCCCTGGGCCGGACGCTGGGAGCCGACACGGGAGCTGCAGGGCCGCCCAGCGCGGAGGGGCGGGGCGTCGGGACGCGGAGGGTGGAGAGTCAGGACACGCGGTGGGCTAGGGGGCGGGGCCTCGGGGCGGGGCCTCGGGGCGGGGCCTCGGGGCGGGGCCTCGGGGCGGGGCC